TTTTGTATTGTTCTATAAATCATTACTCCTCCTTAGTATGTCACCTCTAATTACAGATATGATTATTCATCTGTGGTAATGATCATAGTCAGAAATCATCTGTATTCATAATGACATGCTACAGAGGAGTATGCTGTATAAACAATGAATGACCTTAATGATGCTTAATAGTGTGACATTATTATAAACGTGTTTATGTTGTTTTGTCCTGAGAGGCAGTTTCAGCGCTAACACTGACAGCTGCGCTCTGTCACACACAGACGTTTAAAGTGATTTGACTGGAAGCACAAATGTGATGCTGGTAAGTATTCAGGAAAGTGATGGATCAGGATCTGTTTCTGATGAGAAGTTCATTCAATTCAATTCAATTTTATTTATATAAAATCACAACAACATTCGCCTCAAGGTGCAGTGACATGTGTGAAAACAATGAGAAAGGCTAATGTGATTTGAGAATTGAGTGAGAGCTGAACAATGTACCTAATAAAGTGACCAGTGAGTCACTTTATTAGGTAAATTATATACTTCAGATTAAAGATTGAATTCTTTTCTTACACTTGTTTAAACCCACCAATCTTAACAGAAGAACATGAAATGAATGTAAATAATCCCGTCACATCTTTGGGAGCGATCACAGAATCAGGTCCTTAAAGAAAACTTTCATCATGAAACAAATGTTAGAACAAATGTCTAACGTTATACACAAACCAAATCTCAAAAACAATAAAGAGAGCTCATAGATGCAAAATTATGTCCGGTGTCTTTGACTGTAGGTGAGTTTTTTCACTTGGTCAGTTCACATCTGGAGCAGCTGGATCCACAAACTGCTGTGAGAGCAGTCAGTTCACAGCACGCCATCACATTTTAATTACATGAATGGGAGACAATAGTCTGGATTCAAGGTATTGAAGACATGTACAGCTGGTATAAATTATAAAGGAGGTCAGAGCTCAGTATCAGGGAGACTCTGTGAGAAATGATCAGAGTTATTGATGATTTCTTACCGTTTTCATGTCCTGCTGTTACCGCAAACATCATCAGAGGAAAGACGCACAAAGATAAAAGCTCCGCTAAAAACATGATGCTGAATAAAGTCTGTTCCTCCCTGTGATCTGAATGGCATCAGCTGGTTAGGAGGTGAAATCTCTGCAGTTAAAGCACCAAATAAAGTCGGAGCAGTTCCTGCAAACCGGAGACCAAAACCTGAGACCTGAGAAGGCTCGCACACCGAGATGATCGGACACAGGCTGCAGCAGGAACCAACAAGTCTTCACTGTCAGTGTGTGTGTGTGTGTGTGTGTGTGTGTGTGTGTGCGTGTGTGTGTGCGTGTGCGTGTGTGTGCGCAGCTCTCATTAACACGATTGTATCCTTTTACTGATGAACAGGTTAAACTACCAAAGAACTTCAGTTCACTGATAAAACGAAGCAGCTGCGCCACATTTCCCAGAAGTTCGTAGTGGGAGTGGCGGCTTTAAGCATGCGCGGTCCTGTTTCAGGAGCTGTGGGCTCACGGCCATAAGCAGATAAATTACAATGAGCGCAAACACAGACACACACAGAGAGGCAGACTCAGGATCAGTTTATCTACACAACAGCCTGAACGACTGTCTGTCCAAACTACATCCGCTGATGTTTGGTGGTTGAAGCAGGAGAGACAGCAGTGATGGAGCTGCCAACCAGTCCTGGCTGCTGTAAAGAGGGTGTGTCATCATATTTATCTTACAACATAACAGGGGACCAGATGCCAACAAAGTAATTACTAATAATAACATCAAAATCCTGTGCAGTCCCTGATAAATAAGGACATCTGGTCATCCTGGTTCACAGTGATGAAAGCTCAACTTCTTTTCTCTTGCTCCTCATGAAGCTCTTTAATGACTAATGGCTTTATTCTACCTTGATTTTTATTTTACCCACAGTTAGATTCATTAGCCTCCAGCGTGGGTCTCATACGCTCAGGAACCCCTCCATGGGGAGATCTCCTCTAGGGGTTAAAAACCTGGGACTCGGGATAAAATGAAACAGCTTGATGAACCCAAAGGAGTCCAGTGCCCTTCATTTCGAACTCGTGACCTGACCTGAGCATGCACAGACAGTCAGAGCTGTTATAACCCAGATAAACTCAGGATAAAGGATGGACGTCAGTGTTCGCTGATTAGGAAAACCCAGAAAAAAGGAGAGGAAAAAAATGAAGCTCAAATCAGATGCAGCTTCATTTTCTGGTCTTTTCTAAGTGTTTGTGATGAACTTTGGTCCTTGTGGCTGTTTTTGGTCAGTGAACGCAACCTTTTGCACCCGGGGTCACTGTTACAGCCCACACTGATCAGCGAGGGGTCCACAGTGAATGGATATGCTGCGAGCACGGTA